CCTTATGTGTATACATTTGTTGCCATGCTCCTTAAGAAAAAGTACATTATTTTTTTAGATCACTCTACTTTTGATTTATAATCCGTCTACATTTTTGTGTCTACCGCAATAAAACCACTAAACAGAATCCAGTGATTTTCTTCTCCACAAGAAATTTGGAGCTGTCTCAAGGCATTTTTTGGCTAAGATAATTGTGGTTTGATTGCTGTTTATTGGGTTAAAGTGAAGGAATATTGATAAAAGTGCAAATGAACAAGGCATCTCTATCACAAAGACTTTTGTGGTACAAAATGTCTATATTTACACCTTTCTTCTTTTTCTTTTTTTCTGTAGGAGTATTGCTATTTATTCAGTCATTGATTAAGCTGATTGAATTGGGCATGAAGTTCACCTTACTTTTTTCCCCCCATTTTTTAATAATTTTGTTTATTGAATTACTGTGAGAGCAGTTGCAAAGCTTTCAGGTTTAAGTCTTGGTCATACAATGAAACACCCATTCGCTTCACGCCCTACCGAGGTCATGAGTTGCCCCCCATGAGCGGCTTTCCAGTACGGCCATGGCTCTAAAAGCAGAAGGACTTAATGCAGAACCCGGCAGCTTGCGGCAGTAAAGTGAATGGACTATGCGTTAATCCTCGCCACCATGCCTGCCCGGAGGGGAAAGGATGTTGCTCCCTTCTGCCTTTCTCCCTCTGGACAGCAAGATGGCGGCCGCCTCGGAGCTTTTAGGAAAGCCAGGTATGAGCCTGTCGTGACGGGGTGACTGAAACCTCATGGGAAGGGGGGGGTGTTCCGCGCTCGTCCTTCACGTCCTACCGAGGTCACGAGTTGCCCCCCACGAGCGGCTCTCCGGCACAGCCATGGCTCTAGAGCCACAGAAACCAATCTGACTCTCGGCAGAAATACTTCCAGGCTTAATAAGTAAAATATCAGAAACCCAAAATTACACGGCTGTTATTGCGGCCACGTGTCATCATTTGATACTTGTAACCAGCTGTAGAAACAAATTATTTCACAATGTCTTTTCAACAGGTTTGATTTGGGGGTGTAAACTCTAAATAATAATGGCGCATCTTTTGTCAAAACAATGAATCTAATCAAAGTAGATCGAGTGTTAACTAGAATTCATCTGCCTCACAGGCATTGGGAGGGTGGGGGTATATTGGGGTTCTTCTTGGTGAAAAATAAGTACTGGTGAAGGGAAATGTGTTTGATGATTGCATGACTGAGATTTAAACCTGAAAGCTTTGTAAATTTTCCCACAGTGATTTAATAAATAAATAAATTTTAAAAAAGAAACACCCATCCCTTTCCCATTGCCCATTTTCCACTACCAAAAAACCCAGTATACCCCCAATCCCACACCATCCCCCTACCTGTGGGGCAGGTGATTTCCACATTACTCTCTCTCTCTACTTTGATTACATTTAATATTTTGACATCAGACTCACCATAATTACTTGGGATTTTACCCCAACACTTAGATCTTCTGAAAAGGCAACAGTAGACAATTTTTTAAAAAACTTATTTATTAGTGAAACACCATGAGGTACAGTTGTAGACTTACATATTTTTGTGTTTGGGTTTCAGTTATACAATGATCAAGTATTCATCCCTCCACCAGTGCCCATTCTCCACCACCAGTGAACCCAGAAGCCCTCCATTCCCCCTTCCCTGCCCATTCCCTTTGCTCTCTTTCCTTTAGGGTGTTGTGGTTTGCAATAGAGGTATTGAGTCACCATCGTGTCCGGTCTATAGTCTACTTTCAGCATGCATCTTGTATCCTGAGCGAGTCCTCCAAACACCCTTTACTTGGTGTTCCCTTCTCTATCTGAGCTGTGTTTTCCCCCAGCATGTGCTGCCGGCTTCCAAGCCATGGAGCAGACCTCCTGGTACTTATCTCAACTGTTCTTGGGTGTTCGTCTCCCAGTCTGTACTTTATATAACCCAGATGAGTGCAATCTTTCTATGTCTTCCCTCTCTTTCTGACTCATTTCACTTAGCATGATGCTTTCCATGTAGAACCACGTGTTTGCAAATTTCATGACTTCATCCTTTCCAACTGCTGCATAGTATTCTATTGTGTAGATGTACCAAAGTTTCTTTAACCAGTCATCTGTTCTCAGGCACTTAGGGTTTTTTTCCCAAATTTTGGTTATTGTGAACAGTGCAGCAATGAACATACAAGTGCAGATGTCATTTTGACTGTACTTTTTTGCCTTTCCAGGATATATTCCCAGGAGTGGTATTGCTGGGTCAAATGGGAGCTCAATTTCTAATTTTTTGAGAATTGTCCATACAAAGATGACATGCCACTGACCTACCAAGTTTTCCAACTGGGCTGAACCAGTCGGCATTTTCACCATCAGTGAAAGGAGGATCTCTTTCTCGCCACATCCACGCCAACACCAGTTGCTTTTGTTCTTTTGGATGTGGGCCAGTCTCTGTGGTGTGAGATGATATCTCATTGTTGTTTAGATCTGCATATCCCTGATGATTAGTGATGTAGAGCATTTTCTCATGTGCCTTTTAGCCATTAGGATTTCTTCTTTGAGAAAGTTTCTGTTCATTTCAACATCCTATTTTTTATGGGGTTGGATGTTTTCTTCTTGTGGAGTTCAACCAGTGTTTTGTATATCCTTTATATCAACCCCTTATCAGATGGGTACTGGGTTAATATATTTTCCATTCTGTAGATTTTGGTCACTGTATCTTTTGCAGTGCAGAAGCTTCTTAGTTTAATATAGTCCTATTTGTTTATCTCTGTTTCCACTTGGTAGGTCAGTGGCATGTCATCTTTGAAGAAACCGTTAGCCTCAATATTGTGGAGGGTTTTGATGACCTTGTCTTCAGTGTACCTTATGGATTCTGGTCTGATGTTGAGGTCTTTAATCCATTTCGATATGACTTTTGTGCAAGGTGTTAAGTCGAGGTCTAAGCCCATTTTTTTACATGTGGTTGTCCAGTTATGCCAGCACCATTTGTTAAAGAGGCTTTCTTTGCTCCACTTCACATTTCTAGCTCTCTTATCAAAAATTAGATGTTCATACATTTGGGGTTGTGTGTAGGGATATTCCACCCTGTTCTATTGGTCTACTGCTCTACCTTTGTTCCAGAATTATGCTGTTTTAATTGTTACCGTTTTGTAATAGAGTTTGAGGTTGGTGATGGTGATGCCTCCCATCGTCTTTTCCCCAAGAATTGCTTTAGCTATTCATGAGCGTTTTTGTTCCAAATGAATTTTAGGAGTACATGGTTCATTTCTTTGAAGAATTTCAGGGGTATCCTTATAGGGATTCATTGAATCTGTATAGTGCCTTGTGGAGTATTGCCATTTTGACAATGTTAATTCTTCTTATCCATGAGCAGGGGATATGTTTCCATTTCCTCATATCCTCTTTTATTTCATGGAGTAGCTTTTTGTAGTTTTCTTTGTAGAGGTCCTTTAGCTCCTTAGTTAGGTTGATTCCAAGGAACTTGATTTTCTGGGGCATGATTGTGAACAGGTTTACTTTTTTCATGTCTCTTTCTTTTGTCTCATTATTTGTATATAGAAAAATCCAGGGATTTTTGGGTATTGATTTTATAGCCTGCAACTTTACTTTCTAGGAGTTTCTTGGTAGAGGATTTAGGATTCTCTAGATATTGTATCATATCATCTGCAAATAATGAGAGCTTGATTTCTTCCTTTCCTATCTGGATGCCCTTAATATCTTTTTCTTGCCTAACTGCTATTGCATGTACTTCCAGTACTATGTTGAACAGAAGTGGTGAGAGTAGGCATCCTTGTCTTTTCCCTAATCTTAGAGGGTAGGTCCTTAGTTTTTCCCCTCTTGATCACTCGATCACTTGACATCCCATTACTCATCGATTTGCTTGAACGGCACCAGTAACATCGCCACTCATCCCTGTCATGTGCTAGTGTAGCTCAATGGCGTCTGCTCTTTCTAGGAACACGAAGAGCCTCAAACCGATCGTTCAGGGTCTTGAAGAAGAAGTCTGACCATCTCGTAGGTGGGTGGTCATGCAGTCTTTTGATGTCTTGTGGAATCCAGTCAGTAATGGCTCTAGTCCAGCAGTCGTCTCCAAATCTCATTACATGTCCCGCCCATCTGATTTTCGATGCATTGGCAAACGAGTCAGCATCCCTGATTCTTGACCATCGAAGGATGTCAGAACTCCAGATTCTTTCTCTCATTTGGGTGAAGCATGATACTCCAAGCATAGCTCTTTCAATACCTCTTTGGGAGACCCGAATAGCGTTCTCATCCTGTTTTAGTAGGCCCCTCGGTCTCTTGGGTGTATGTTAATGCAGGAAGAACAATAGAATCGAAGAGATGTGCCCAGAGCTGGAGGTTCTTTGTCCTCTTAGCTATTTCTTTGACACTCTTGAAGGCATTCCAAGCTGCTCTCTTCCTCCTGCCAACTCAGGTGCCAGGTCATTTGTCATGTTGACTTCTTGACCTAGGTACACATAACTGTTGCATTCAGAGATGGTCGTTCCATTGAGAGAAAGTGGAACATTAGGAATGAGACCGTTTTCATAAACATTGAATTCATGAGATTCAGCTGTAGTGTGACCTTTCCACACTCATGGTCAAATTCGACCAGCATTTCTGCCGCTTGGCTAATATTTGGTTTTATTAGAACAATGTGGTCAGCACAGCAGAGGTGGTGTAGTTGCTGTCCATCTATCTTCCCTCCCACTCCTTCCCATTCCAGTCATAGCATGATGTTCTGGAGGGTGGCACTGAAGAGTTTTGGTGAAATTGTATCACCCTGCTTAACCCATCTCTTGACACGGATGATCACTTCTTTGTAGAATGGTGAGATCCTGGTAGTGAATTCGTAATATAGCTCACCGAGGATCCTGATGTATTGAGTCTGAATGCTCTGATTGGCGAGGGCTTCGATGACTGCTTTCGTCTCAACAGAATCAAAGGCTTTCTTTAAACCAATGAATGTTAGGTAGAGCAGCGTCTTCAACTTCTGAGAACTTCAAAGGGCTTGTTTATTGAATTTGCTTTTCATCTTTGCGCAGGGGCCATGCTAATCTTCTCTGTATCATTGCAATTTTAGTATATGTGCTGCCAAAGAGAGAACGGCAATTTGTTTTCTATTGCCGGTTATGAATAACATATGATTTCACGCAGCTGGTTAGTGGCCATGTGATTTTGGAAATCTGAAATTTTAACAAATATTGAGGGATTTCTGCCAAAGCCTGATGGTTCCAAGATTTGTTCCTGAGTCTCTTGGATCATAGCCGTTAAGCAGCTTGATCAGGAGCCAGAGAGGCTGTTTGTGGGTGGCAACTTGGGGTCTCGTTGGGAGGGGGAGAGGAAAGGGCCAGCTCCACCCCCTTCCCATGAGGTCTCATGTGTCTCATCACTGCGGGTCTAAACCTGACTGTCCAATGGACTCTGGAGGATTGTGGCCACTGAGCCACCTGGGGGAACAGGCCAAGGCCCAAACCTATTCCCACCTGGGGTGGCCCGACTCTGGTAACCTACTGCAGGGACCATACACATTTATGCCAAAGGCTGCTTATTTCCAAGATTTGTTTCTGAGTTTCTGGGATCATGGCTGTTAAGCAGCTTTATCAGGAGCCAGAGAGGCCCGGCCATTCATGGGTGGCAACTTGGGGTCTCATTGGAATGGGGAGGAATGGGCTGGTTCCACCCCTATTTCGTGAGGCCCCTTGTGTCTCGTCATTGTGGGCCCAATACTGACTGTTCAATGGTCTCTGGAGGATGGTGGCCACTGAGCCGTCGAAGTGGAGCAGGTGGAGGTATAGCATTCTTTCCCCCCTAGGGTGGCCCGGCGCCAGTAACCAACTGCGGGGTCTGGACACATTTATGCCAAAATCCTCTGGGTTCTGAGATCTGTTACTGTGTCCCTGGGATCATGGCCTTTAAGCAGCTTGATCAAGAGCCAGAGTGGCTGTTTGTGGTCAGCGACTCCAGGTCTTGTTGTGGGGGGAGGTGGGGGGAGAGGAAAGAGCTGGCTTCACCCCCACCCCGTGAGGCCCCACGTGTCTCATCTCTGCGGGCCCAAGCGTGACTGTCCAATGGCCTCTGGAGGATGGCAGCCACTGAGCCGCCAGGGGGAACAGGCCACATATGTACTCCTTTCGACTGTTATCCCCATATTTTTTCTCTTTTGGTAACAACAGAATTGAACTAAGATCACAGGCAAAGGAAGTGCTCTATAACTAAACGATATCCTTAGTTCTTCTCCCCATTTTTATGGATTTGTGTTATTGTTATTGAGTTTTCTGAGTTCTTAATACATTTTGGTTATTAACTTTTCTAGTATATATAACACGATGCATAAATGATTTTTACATTCAACAGGATATAGTTGCATGTTTTCCAAGATGAATACATAAATACTAATACATGTATTAGTTCATAATAAAGACATGATATGTGTGACTTTAACTAGAACTTCCTGCATATTCTGTATAGAAACTATGTAAGTCTTTTTATTATTACTTCAGAGATATATCATATATTTTGTATTGTAATATTTAGGGGTTGCTTAATTTTTTGTTTTGAGACTGGTTAATTTGTTTTTTGTAACATTTTAAATGTGCCTTTTATATTTTTAGTGAAAAAATATTAAATAGTGAAGAAAAATAACCTACATGTTTCAAGCACTTCTGCTTTATTCAGATATAAAAACATATAGCATGTAATCTGTAGTCCAAAGAATGAGAAAAAAATTACCTTTATAATATGCTTTGAAAATATCTCAGGAAGTTATTCCTATTTTTTAATAATTTAATGTTGAAGGATTTTGATATGTACTAAAGAAGTTGATCTCTCTTCTTAGAGCATAAAAAAGATATCTTCTGAATGTGCCATAAACAGTGGCCAAATTTGAAGGGAAAGATATTGAACAAAAATGAAAATCCAAAATATAGAGCAGGTTTAGCATGTACATGACATAGTTAAGAAATTGTGAAGGTTAATAATACCATACTTTATTCATTTAAAATGTATTTGGGTAAAGTTGATAGAATGAAAGTATCATAAATAATAACCAATTTCTGATTTTTTCCAGATTATTTTATTATAAGCCTGCACCCCAGACCACTGAGGATCATCCGGGCAAAAGAAATTAATTTTAGGTCACACCCGACGATGCACAGGAGTTACTCCTGGCTCTGCGCTCAGAAATTATTCCTGGCGGTGCTCGGGGGACCATATGGGATGCTGGGAATCAAACCCGGGTCGGCGCATGCAAGGCAAACACCCTACCCGCTGTGTGTTGGCTCCAGCCCCCATCCTGAGCCAGCCTCTGTGGCAAACACTTTCCCCCCTCCCCCATGATCCCCCTCCCTAATGTACCTGCAGCCCCACACCAGTGCCGAGTATCCTACTGAAGTTTTTAGAGATAATGTTTTTGTTTTATTTTGGGATTTTGGGGTCACACCTGATAGTGCTCAGGGCTTACTCCTGGCAGGGTTCAGGGGACCATAGGTGGTGCTGGGGATCAAATTCAGCCTACCCACTTGCAAGAGAAGTGTCTTACCCACTACACCATCTCTCTAGCCCCCTTTTAGAGAATTTTTTAAACCACCGCTGTCTCTTAATTTTAAAAATATTAGGAAAAAAAGTAATTATTTTTGTCATTGGCTTAGCTTTTCCTGTATTAAAGCAAATGGGTACTTCTATTTTCGATGTTATGAATGCCAGTTTATACCCAGAGTGTACTTGAATATTAACCCCAGGAAAGTCAGTGAATTAATGTGTTTTTAAGGGAGATCTTATTTTATTTTTCTCAGAGACTTTGAAAAAGAATTAGTATATGCAAGTTTTTAAAATGCAGGCTGGTCCAGATGATGTCCAGACCAATTGTTTGTGAGTAGCTATCTGGGACCAGTGCGTGCCAGTCTTTTACTGGTGCAAGGCAAAAAATAAAGAACTGTCTGTGTGTCTGTCTGTCTCTTGAATGGTTACCAACTCTATTCTTAGGAGTGACTGCCTTTATGCTATCTTCTCTGTATATGGTTTTCAGACATAAAATGCTTATCTTTTAGGAACTTGTGATGAGAATGGAAAGTAGCAAAATTAAAAATGAGAAGCTTTATGCTGATTCCTTACCTTATTTCCGTTGTATTGTCGATGAAATTAAAGAGTTTGGAACCCCCATAGGAAAGCGAAGAGATAATAGAAAAAGTTCTAGTTCAGGAGATGGGAAACGTCTTCATGTGCTTTTGGTATGGCTTTTAGAGCCCATTGAGCCTCTCTTTCTGTGTTCCTTTCGTTTTGTGGTTTTGGGGTCATTCCTGATTATTCTATAGCCCGTTGCAGGGTGAGGGTGAAGACACTCGATGCTGGCATTGCCCAGGAGCTGACCCCATGCCATGCCCGCGACTGAAGCCCCTGCATGCACCCCAGCCTCCCTTTCTTTAGATTTGAAATAGTTATATAGTACCTACACGGAGGGTGGGCTGGAGTAATAGCCCAGTGGGTAGGGCGTTTACCTTGCACATGACCAACCTGGCCCACCCGGATCGATTCCTTCACCCGCATGTCAAAGCCTGGCGAGCTACCGGTGTCATATTTGATATGCCAAACACAGTAACAACAAGTCTCACAATGGAGATGTTACTGGGCCTGCTGGAGCAAATTGATGAACAATGGAAGGACAGTGCTACAGTGCATTTTATTATAAAAAAAACTAAGGATATCATTTGTATTACGTTATCATGCATATTTAATTTTATAAACTAGTTGAAAAATTTTAATCTATTGAAATTTGTAAGAGGAATGAGCAAATTCATTGTTTCTAAAAATAAGAGGTAATTAAATTTTTAAAACAAAGTATTAATTTGCTGTGTGTACAAAATTTTTTAACTTACTCAATTTGGCAGAAGAAAAGAGGAGCATAGTATAGACCAAAAGGGGGTTAGAAGTCAAGCAGAGCATTTAGGATTTTCTTGAATGACTAAGTTCTTTCATTTACAGAAATTTTGTTGACTCTCAGAAAAATGTCAGGATTAAGAAATCATGACACCAAGATATATTGGTACATCATGATTTTTAAATCCAGACATTTTTCTGAGAGCAACAAGCTACAGAGATGCTTCCAGACCCCGAAGTCACCATCTAGTTAAAAATGTTCCTCTGGTTGTATTACCTTATTTAAAATTTTAGTATTCCTGGAGTGACTTCTCATATTCTACACCACTGATATACCAAGAATACCACATTTGATGGGTGTAGAAGTAGAAGGCAACTGATCTCTAATATATATATATATTCAGCAATAATCCCACCATCATTACACCTTCCTATCACCATTATTTCAAATTTTCCCATCACCACTCAAGCCTGCCCCAAAAGCAGATCCTAAATAATTTACCTTGTATTGTTTATTATGAATAATCTGCTAAAAATGATCCCCAAAAGTTTCCTTAGAGGAAAGTGTGTGGAGATTGTTGAATCTCACCCTGGAGCCATTAAGACATTAAGCCTAAAATATTTACTAATGTGTATAAGAGATTACTAACATGTTGTTACAGGTTGAGCCTGATTTTATAAAATTTTAAAAATCATGATGCCAGGAAAATATTATGTTTAACCATAAAGTAGAGTTAAACAGGTTAGTGTTTCTCCTAACAAAGATATTAATGCTCCCAGCTCAATGTAAGGGAACATCTGCTTAGATCACAGTAGGTTGGGTGTTTTAGTATTATGAATCAGATGTGGCCCCTATCAGCAACTTCTATTTGACAAACTATGTTCCACATTCTTCCTGAGGACCTACATACCATTTGAAATAGAGAAGATAATCCTACACATGAGAAGCAAATTTAGTAAGACTATATCCCATAGAATAAAGTTGAAGTTGTACCATGTTATCTACCATGGTACAAGAAGAGAGAAATTAGCAATATATGTGCTTGGGGATAGTTAGAGGAAAAGGAAGGAATATCTATTGCCCTTATTGATCTTGATTTTGTTTATCCTAGCTGCACTTTAAGTTGTATTTCTGTTTGTACAAATGCACTTGTTCATGAAAGACTGCTATTTCCTTGAATATTTCCATGAAGCAATTGCTTGAGTTGACAGTTGGATGATTTTTCCCACAGC